TGTCCACGGCCCTGTTGAGGAGGTAGGTGCCAAATTGTTTACTTGAATGAACAAATATTTCTTCGACCTTTTGATGTACATTTTAATATTTAATATAGTTATAATTATTCGTATAATATTATATTGTTATATAAATACATAAATATACCAATACCTATATTATATGTATTAAGGGTACTATTATACATTATATTATATCCAACGAGATTCTTATCACCCGGTGTATAATTTACATTCAATTGTGAAATTCAAATTAATAATTTATGCAATTTCGAATAAAAAAAATGAATACGCCATACGTTCTACAGTAGTCTAGTCTGGTCTCTACCAACAAAAGAAAAGTGAATTGAAATTATTCAAGGATTTGAAAGACACGCCTTTTTTTCCAACTGCATCGGTATAGTTTAGAACACACACTCTAGTTGTAAAACTAATTGCCATTTGACAGTTGGTCGTTGTTTTATAATTATAAAAATTATTTTTCGATACTTTTAATGGCAGTTAGCGATATAAATATTACAATTTAACTAACATCTGTCGACACCGGTTTAATGAACCAAAAATGTCTCAACCAATAGCGGGTACAATTGGGGCGGGGGGGGGGTATCCCCGCTCTGTTCACCAAAAAAATATGTTGGATAATCATCATATTATATATTTGATCAACAATTAATGTAGGTAGTAGAATTTAATAATTAATGTGCACAATAACATAGGTATAATATGTATAACTCAGTTTTAATGCCGACCCTTTCTGGAGGTTTTTGTCAGTTAAAAATCATAACATAGTCTCATACTACATAATATTATTACGATTTAGCTACACGGCGTTTCGCATCTACATGATATGATATATTAATTATCAGGACATTACTATTGTTCTCGTATTATCATTCTGATGTATGCCAATACCTATCGACTAAGTCACGCTCATCTACACAACCGTCATTATCTAGAAGTTAGAACCTATTCCGGCCTTTCGTAAATAATCATGGGTCTCACTCGTTTTAATGTTGATCACCGTGTTGATTCGTTCCAAAAATTAACATGCTATATAGGTGTGTTTTTAATACGCCGGATGGACTAAGAAGTTAATGACAAATTGCACATTATATGAAGACTTGTTCCGACTTTTCCCTTTCTCATGGACGAGCTTTGATAGCATTGATTTTATTGTAATTATACCATTATATTTGTAAATTAGCTCGAGAGGAACCTATAACGCGCATGCGTTGGATATCATTTTATGTTTTGACAACAATTCTGAAATAAAACTTGTCTCTCTCTATCAGATATTCTGATAGGTAGGTTTTGAAATTGGTTCGCTATAATATGAAAAATAATCAAGTCTTGAACATACCTCCCTGATGTCTTCGTAGACCGAATCATAGTATGTTTATACCTACGCTAAACATATTATATATAAATTTGCGATAGTCAATATATTATATTATATTCTATATTTATACGTCAACAATTTCATATTTTAACTTAACTAACATGAAAAAAAAGTTGAAAACAAATTGACTTTTAAACTATTTTTTTTTCCATAGTTGATATTATATATTATAATAATTATAATTCACATATTGAGCACCACCTATAAGCATTACGGAATGTAAATATTATTAATTAAAACAAGGCGCTTTGGATAGGCAATTTAAGAGCATTGATTTTTGTGCGTAATGCAAATTGTATGTACCTACTACACTTCCTGTTGGGAGTGACCAGTAAAAATTTGATCATTGAACACATAATAAAGACGATATAATATTATCAATTTTTTTTTTTTATATATTTTGTTACATAGACATTTTTTATTTCATCAGCATCATCTAGACTAAAATAATTACTTACAGCTACCGAATAATATCGTTTCGCGTAACATCACAGATTTCATTATACTTTAATTATATAAAACAAAAACTTACACTATAAATTATATTGGTAAAAATAATAGGTACCAAAAAAAAAATTATAAAAACAAAATATCCGGTCATTGGTTTAATTAAACATAAGAAGGTACACAGATTATCTAAATGCGATTTAAATTATAAACAACAATATTCAGCACAATTATTATCAAAATAGTAATAATTAACTGTACAGGGTGTATCACTCAAATAAACAACCACATGGTCGTTTAACAACAATAGTCTTTTTCCTTTATGGTTTTTATATTCGTTTTACAGATTGAGAACCTTTTTCAATACATTTTCAGTATTTATTTTGAGTTCAAATTATTAATTAACCTAGTATTGTATAATATATTATGTTATGTAAAATGTTTATAAGATCAACAGATGTGCTGTAAAATGTGTTTTAAAAATTTATAAATTTTCTTAAGATGCTTGCAAATTCCAGGCATAAAAGATGTAATAATTTCAATCATACACCATATCACACCTATGAAATGATTTTTCTATCAAATATAAGTACATTTTTCAAACATAAAAAATTGAAACATTTTGTTTTCTTTTTGTTTCAAAATTTGTCTTTACGTTTTGTAACTCCTAAATCAAATTAGGTACACAAAAGGAATAATTTTTTGTTTTTAATTGAATTGATACTGTCCATTTATAAACCAAACTAAACATTTCAACAATGTAATAAATTATGTAATCTAAATTGAAACTTTCGTACAACAATTAAGATGTTTTGTAAATAAACATTTACTATTTTTTTGTAAATTAATATTTATTGTTAACCAAAGTATACACCATAAAAAATATAATTTCTCAATTATAAAAAATAAAAGTAATATTATGTATGCAAGATGGTAATTTAAGACACTTACACAAAAATTATTACTTACGATGAAGGGTAAAATATATTCAAATTAATAGAATCTTAGACTTTATGATGTTTGACAAACAATAATTTTATAATTTATGAATAGGTAAATTAATGAGCACTTCACTAAATAGTTAATTGGTAGTAGTCACCAGCTATATAATATATGTAGTTAGGAAAAAAATAAGTATATCAATATCCGTAATAAAATACAATAATATTCAGATACTAAATCAACAACGATGGATATGAATTTGTATAATTTCAGTCTAAAAATAAATCATTTAAATACCTCTTAGATTGATCAAAATAACTTATAGCTACTATATCGACAATATTATACAATTTGTCAAAATTACATATTTATTATTATCATATATTTATTATTACTACATCACAAGGTCGCCTTTTTTTAAATTAAAAATTTACTACCTACCTATAAAATGATAACCAAACATTTTGAAATAATATTATTCCAATTTACATTAGGTTACGATAATTTTTAATATTTTCTAATCGCACCATAGATACCTAGTATTTAGTAAATAAAAAAATTATAGAAATCATGGTAATAAATAATATAATTTAATTTACTCATATTGTTTAGGTAATTAAATAATTGCATTTGGTAAACAACTGTTTCCTATTTCGATGAATTACTTATAGTTATTTTAAATTTGAGGTAAAATAGTTTTGTTTATTTTATAACAAAATATTCTATTAGTTTGTACATGGTCTAAACAGTATGTTGTTTAGTCAAACATAATGTAATCAAATAGGAGTGTATACCAAAGAGAAATATACAATGAAACACACATGAAGATAACATTGATTAAGAGTAAGAATTTACCGACGAGGTCCATACGTACATAGAGATACACGAGCTATAATTTGGTATGGTTAGAAATAGTTTTAAATTTGAATCATTGAATAATATGATAGTACTAAATTAGAGAATTACATTTTGCATCATTAGCTCAAAAATCTATTAATTTATTTTAAAATATTTTTTATTATATGAATTTACCCGTGAATAAAATTTGTTAGTTTATTTGTAATTTTCTTAGTTAAATAATTAATTGAAGAACAAAAATAGCAAGTTGATTGCACTCATCTTCAATAACATAGTTATTGCCCAATTAGAATAAAACATGTATTCAGTTAGATAAAAAATGGCATTATTTTTCTCAAGAATTGTTTGCTTTTAGTAAAACCTATATAGTATGTATGTATATATAAAATGACTAATTAACTATATCAAAAATAGTCCAAAGTAAAAAGAAAAGTGATAAGTTATAGTTCGGTAGAAAGTAATATTTCAAATATTACTCCAAACAAACTATAAATCTTCATTTATCTAATAGGTATCTGATTATTGTAATATTAATACATTTATATTTTATGCATATCTGTTTATAATAAACACATTTATAATTTCACAGTAACAATCAAAAATGTTATAACATTATTTGTCAAACAAATATTTATTATAATAAATGGACAGAAATGTATTTGTTTATCAGCATTAGACATGTAAAAACAATATTATATATTTTTGAGACAGTGAAGAATAAAATAATATATATATATAAAAAAAAATTGCATATAAATAAAAATAACTAAAATACTTAATGTCTTATGGTATATACTATATAGTATCAGAAAAATAATAGTACTACTATAGTAAAGATTATTTAAATGTGGATTAATAATGAATTACTTTTTATGATAATATATGGAATATTCAAATAAAATAAGGAAATATTGATCGGACCCAAAATATCCTATTACGAGCATAATAACACTCATAGAAATCATGAAGTACTACAAACGGAAACAAATATTGAGCAACAAGAATATTTCAATTTTTTACTTAAATTTTTGTTAGTCTGTTATTTTATTATTATATTTACAAGGCCGCTCTAGGAACACTGTATAATATAATAATATAATACTCGAAAACTGATGACAAAAGATAAAAGTCTAATATCTAAAATCCATGATTTTGTTTTTAAATTTTTTTCAAAATTCACTGTTGCACCCTAGTTAATCAGTACAAAATAGTTATTGTCGTTTTTTTTTGTTTAAAAACAATTTTACTGGACACTAATAGCTGTAATTGACAACGCTAATATTGCTGTTCTGTCTGTATGAGAGTTGTGTCGCTGCCGTCCTTTTGTAATTGAAATCATTACTTGCGCGCACGCTCACTGATTGAACTGTACGATGATGTCAAGCATACTACAGTAAACGCCGGTAACCAATCCCAAAATGCCAAACATTATGATGACCAAGTTTTTCCACAGACGCCAGTATAATTTACCCAATCCAGGTTCTTCCCAGGAGGTAACTAGATCGATGCAGCTCGGCAAGATTAGACCCAAAAATGACAGACATAATGCTCCGACAAGCGATATGACCGGGCCCAGGTTAGGACAAGCAATTGCAATCAAAACTAGAATAAAAAAAAACAAGATACCAGGTCAAATATTTTGTATTTTCCTGGATTTTAATTTAAAAGAGTAATATATGACTTTTTTTTTATTAGGCTTGATCAACTTAATATTACACATCTATTTTATATTCCTCACGATACTTACAATTATAATTTATGCTATCAGAGCCGTATGCAAGATTATTCAATGGGAGGGGCTTGAAAATTAATTACAATTTTATTTTTATTTTGTCCAGTCTAAAAATTGCAGACGTTTTGGTGGGGTATTTGAAAATGTTTGTACAGCTTCAACTTCTCGACTTTTCTAGTAGAAAAAATGCTTTGACCATAGACTTCATAGGAGATTTTTGGAAGCAAATTGAATCTAGTTAGTACTTTTGGGAGGTCAAAATAGAAAATTCTCAGTATTTTTTAAAATAATCAGGAATAACAAAAATAAATGAAAATTTGTTAAAATTGTTTGGTACCCAGGTTAGACTGTCGTCTTCTCTTGGATTGCATTTGATTAATTTTAGTTTTTTTTTCTAAAAGTGCCAATAAATAATTATTTGTTTGGTCAAAAAGCTTAAATATTTAATACAAGGTTCATCATAAGTTTTTATTATAACTATTTAAAAATATTAACAATACATTTAGGTAGGCAAGATTATTTTTTATAAGCATTTAAAGTTCAAATTTGACAAAACCACAATTAATTTGTAGTTCAAAATGTATAAAACATTAAATTTGTATAGCTAAGGCTTAGAAAAATTAATAATAATATGAGCAATGGGGGAGGGGGGGCTTCAGCCCATTAATCCCCTCTCCTTGCGTACACCACTGTATGCTATGCTCAGATATAAATATTTAAATGTTTTTTGGGAATAGTGTTTTATAATGCAGACTTATTTTCCTTTATTTCCCTTGATTATTATTATTATTTATTTTTTTTTACTAAATTGATATTTACAATCTTGTTATTTTATTATTGTTTTTAATTTTTATTTTGAATTATAAATTGGACCTCGGACTACATAATATTAAGTAAATAAATATAATAACTGATGTCTTTAATAGTAGGAAATATCTCACTCAAGATGTAACTAATAGTACATTTCATTAGTGATTACTCATTAATTATACATTTTTATAATATTCATGCAAATTCACAACTCTATAATAGTATTAATAGGTAATTTAATTATTTCCACAGAGTGAATGACTTACCCGTGCACACGACCAAGATCACTCTGAGCAAATATTCAAAAATCATGGGGTGTGATGTAAACCGGTGCTTGGAGCCTTTCCAGATGATCTCAAAGGGTACATAAAACTGAAGACTGTATGTAAGGAAAATAGCAATGGCTATCATGACCTTTACGGACTGTGCCAATCTGCAATTAAGAATAGTAACCAGTTAATATAACCATGATACAAATATTATTGCAAAAATTTGTTGACAGATTCATTAATGCAGAGTTATAGTAACTTACAATTCATCTTTCGGTAAATTCAGAGTAATGCTGCCTTCAGTATCATCACCATACTTGAGGAAACCAAACATTCCAACAGTAGAGTACAAAACCACAACAATAGCCATGCCAATGTTCAGCACGCTGGGACAACCAATAAAATGTTGTGGTGTTTTCATGTTGTTTTCCAATGGCATTACCTAAATAAATTATCAGATACATAGTCATTATATATTGTTATTAGTAGAATTCGCTCAATTTTGGTTCTAGAGTAAAAATACCTATTATAAACTTGAATTGTGACAATATTTTTGAAGACAAGTTGTTGCTTTTTTTAAAAAAAAATTTAAATATTGAAAAGTTAAAGGTATTTTAAAAATGTTGACATTTTTTCTATTTCTAAACGATATAATGAACGCCATATTGAGTATAATGAAAAAAAATGAAATTACAATATTGTATAATTATATAATTATTATTGTTATTAATAATTAAAATGACAAAATATAATTCTTGGGAAATTATTCTAAATAATTTAAAAAAAATATGATAAAAACTCACAACACCAATCCCTTCCAATGCAAAGATGGCAGTGCCAAAGAAGAGTGGCCATTTGTGCCAATCCGTAATGTAAGGTACAGATCTCATGGGTGGCAAGTCTTGAAACACGTACCAGAATGTAATGGTCATGCAAGTACCAACCAAAATGTTTGCTATCATTGAAAGTGGAGCCAGATACTTCAAGTTACGTATTAAATTCATAGCGATTACCAATGGCAACATCATCAACATGTACCATCTAACATTTATATCTAAAATATATTCATCCATCACCTGAAATCAAAAAATAGATGTTTAACATTAAAAACTTAACTAAAAATTTCAAGACATAAAAATTGAATGAAAAGTGAAGTAACCCAATTCTTTTAAATGGATATTTGTCTAATACATTCATATAATCTACTATTATAACTAAATAAACAGATTTAGGTATATTATCATCACAATATTGCTTAGGTATCTACAACAATGACTATTTTAAATATGTAAATAATTCAATTATACAAATATTCTAATAGGAGCTTAATAGTTGTCTTTGTTGTTTCAGACTTACAAACTTTCAACATACCAAAACCAAATTTGTGTTCAGTGTCAGAATGTTAATTGTGTGTAGTACTAGTAAATTTTAATAATAAAATTAACTGACCCATTATCAAACTTAAAGATAAGAACATTATGTTTGTTTTCTCATGGGTTTTTTACAATATTTTAATTAACTAGGATTATACAGAACAAGATTTAATTCAATTTATTGTTTGTTTTCAAAGTAATGCATTTCTAATAAAAAAATTTAACAAAGTTTGGTGTTCATTTTTAAAAGGAAAGTATAAAATACACATATAAATAGCATTACTTATTTTACTTGAGTTTGTGAATTGAAAATATTTCCCTTAATAGTTAATGAATACTACTTTGTAATAACATCTTAAATCTTAATAACTATTAAAATAAATATAAAGAAATGTATAATATTTTATTATTTACCTGTTTAATATTCTTTGCAACAAAAACAATATAAACACAACAGCAACCAAGCAAATCAATGGTTAGGAACGTGTTAACGAGGCCTCTGAAAAATCCACGAAAAAAAGTTATAGATATAGGACAATATTTGTATGGTCAATATCAATATATGATAAGACAATTAGACTAAAATACCTATTTAAAAATACATCACACAAAAATTTGTCATATTATGTTAATCACACGTGGAACTTAACACAAACAAGTTCATGAAGGCCTATCATAAGTAAGTCATAGCCTATCATTAGTTTTTTTAGAATTCATATAAAATGTCCGTATTAAAAAACCATGAAAATAATATTTAGTAAATAAGTTAAACCAGCGTACAGCAAGTTACTAAACATAAAATATATTTAAATGCAATTTATAGTTGGAATTACTGTGATATATTAAATACAAAAATGTTACGAGAAGCGATCAATAGAAATTATTTTTATAATAGTGTGTTAACACTACTGGACAGTAATAATAATCAAGTTCCAACTATTTAGGCAGTAGGTACTTTATGAACTTATTTTTAGTGAGATCCACCGTGCAGCACAGGTTAGATTAACCTAACCTACAGTAAGCTTTGGTAAGCCACCTCTAACTAAAAAATTACATAATAAGGAATATATATTATTTAATAAACTAATTTTGTACCTGAAGAGGCCGGAAAATTTTTGGAAGGCTGGTGGTCCAGCGAGGAAGGCAACTTCTGCAACATCAGCGAATCCTAATGCTGGTACTTGCATTCTACGGCACAATTTATGAGAAGATTTTACCTAAAAATACAAAAATATTTATGTAGCCATGTATATTTATCGCCCAACTAATCTTGTTAGTGTTAATAATTAACACCTAACATGCTATTTGAATAAAGTTAAATCTTACCAGTATATGGACACAATATGTACAAACGAATCCAATTACAGCAGTTGCTATGAGCCCAAATATTAGTCCAGCGTTCAGAAAAGCTAAAGGCATGGCCAATATGCCTGAGCCCAGACTGCCTTTGAGCAGATGTATAAATGTTTCCATATCCCTGTAAGTTAAAGATTCTAAGTATTGGTACGATAATTTTTAACAATTTTTATTTAATTACGTAGTTGGGTATTGGACCGTCCGGTGGTCGAATGGATTGTATCCACCGAATTCGGCATCTTTGCTTGAACCTGGTACAAGCGGAAGTGTCGAGCCATTGGTCTGTGTTATAGGTACCCCGTTCGATGAACATTTGTACCTATTTATTGAAACGTAAGTAAAAATTATTTAAATTACATTATTTATTTTTGGATTTCTAAAAATAAGTGGCACAATTCCAAGCAACCAAATTGTGATCGCATGTACCTACTATACAATATAGTAGGTATAGCTATTAGCTATATATCTTTACTCTTTATACATAGAATATACGCATCCACCATACTATTATATAGGTTGTATACTAGTGTTGGGTAGTAAAGTAACGAGAGTAACGCGTTAAGTTATTTCGTTAGAATTTTTTCCATGTGACGAAAATGCAATGAACATTTCTTTGATAATTAACATTTCTATAATACAACGCGTTACGGTTTCAACTTGTTTCGAGTATTGCGAATGTTAAAATAATTATAATAATAATATATAGATAATATGTCTATATAATGCGAGTATTGGGTATACAAAAGAATGTAAAATTTATAGGTATAATATATTTAATTTGAAATCGCCACAATTCAGTTTTTAATGGTTTAAACCACGCGTAAATTACAACAAAAGATAATTAATAAAGTAATATTAATTTTATTTATAATCATAGGCGCAAATTGACTAAATTTTTTGGGGGGACTCAAGCCCCCCTCCACAAAGGTCATAATATAAGTAAAACAAATGTTGGAGGGAAACGCTCTCCATAAAATCCTCCACCCACTGAGCAACTATCGTTACGGATATATAAAAATACAAAGTATTACATTTTTAGACTATATTTATTTTAACAAAATTCTCCGTTCTTTTTCGGCAAATACATTTAAAATATCTTCTGTATTTATATTATTAGATAAATCCCTCTTAATATGTAGAATAGATATAGTTGAGAACCTAGTCTGATCCATAGTTGACCTCTTCCAGAGATTCCATTATTCCAATAAATATTAAAATATAACCTAACAATAGTAAGTAATAAACATATATCTTAGTCCGTGGACCGTGGTAACAAATAATAATTATTAATGATAATTAAATGCTCCGTTCAAAAATTGGCGCGTAAACCGTCGATTGTGGAGGTCAACAGCAACCACGGCATTATTCTTTGGCTATAGATACTATATATAGCCGTGATCGTGACACAGCCCTCATAGTTTATCACCTATAAATTACTTATTCAGTATCAATTATCAGTTTGACCACGAGGCACGGACTAAGATCGTTATAGTATTTTTTATAAAGATTTAAAAAAAACCTAGCATAATAATAATTTTTTTCAATAATTGTATTTTGTAATTGGTTAAGTTTAAATATATACATGTTTAGTACTACAGAATATAATAATTAGTACTAATTACTAGATTTTGAACTGGGGGACTGACCGAAATCTGGGGACTAAGTCCCCCCCAAGCCCCACCCCCATTTGCGCCAATGTTTTATAATTAATCTTTCTCAAATCACATAGTAGGTTCCTATACACAGGTCGAGTGGACTGATGGATTTCAATTTTATACTAACTATATTTTGATAGTTTAATATTAATAATTGTTGTACCTACATGATTGTTTATAACTTGTTTGAAGTGTTATATTTTTAAAATGTATTATTTTTTAATTATACCTGTACAGTGTTTCTACTAATGTGGTGTCGAATGACGATTGTTTAAAGAAATTAAAAAAATACATATGCACTATTTATTTATTTTTTGTAACGTGGAGGTAACAAAGATAGAAAAGTAAAGTAATTTCATTAAAATGTTATTAGAGAAATGAATAAAGTAACTTCATTACTTTAATCTCTAAGTAACGAGTAATGTAACTTAATTATACTTTTTAAAAGTGACTTACCCACTCTTTGAAGGTTCTGGTAAGTACAAACGGAATATTTTACGAAACATAATGTAGTTTTTATTAGGTACTTTATTTTCATACAAAATATAGATGTCAATGACAAAAAATAGATACCTCTAGATATTATAAACGCTTAAGTGTATAACTTATTCCGCTATAGATTTTCAATGAACCTAGTATAAACATTAAGTGCCATAAAACAACGATCGACGTCGGTAGTTAATACACAGAGGTAACCACCAATAGAAATCAATTGTCATATACTACAGAGATTTTAATACCCGTATGACATTTCATAATGTCTTTGTCAATTTGAGATGACACGTTTTATAATCGTTTTACTTGTTTTATAACGAATCAAATATCGGAATATAGTATTAGTACTAAGTGCATGTACAATGTACATCAGTTGACAGTTGTCATAATATACCGTTGATTCTGAGATTCTACTCGCAGGCTATCTAATATTATGTTTATCATTATTTAATATTATAATTTATAATACTTGTTATACAGATTAATCGAACAAATTTAAATATTTTAATTTGTTAGAGATTTTAAAATAGATCAATTTCGTATAGGTTTAGGATAGCTACGAGTATAAAATACTAATGCGAAAGTCATTTGTCGTTTTATGGGCTTTTGAGTTTTTTTAATTCTGGATAAATGTATAGTATGGACACGTTAGCACTATTATTTAAAAATAGGTAGGTATTTGTATAGACGTATAAACTTGTAGAACACTTTATTTAACACAAATTATATATAAAAAATGGCCATAATACTGTTTAAAAAATCGCTGTTATAAATTTGTATATTATATAATTCAGTATTTCTTTTTAAATTTTTATGATTATTACAAAATAGTTTATACTATATATTTGAATAATTATCAGTAAAAATTAATATTTGCATCTTATGCTTGAACTATGTGAGCACTAATTTCAATTACGATTATTAATTATTATCAAATATTAGGTATGTTTATAAAAATATCATAGGTAAAAGCAATTTTTAGATTTATTTTATTCGTACGCTAAATTAAAGACAATTAATTTAGTCAATACATATTATTGAAATATAATAAAAATTATTGGGTTTATTAAAAGATAATTAGTAATACATAAGTCATAACTTGTATAATAAATTGTAACAATATGAAATACACTAGTATAATATTTTTTCTACAGTAATTGGTGTGTCTGTTTCTATACAGTCATTGTGAAGATAACATGTAATTTAAGCTCGTAATGATATATTATGTTAAATTAATCACTTATTTTGTAATTGAGTGTTAAATTCATTCAATTAAGTCAATTTTATTATCATGGTACCTATAATATACACACCAGTAATTTTATTTAGTGTTAATTTTCCGCCGATAAAATTAGTTGCTGAGACAATTGTGTCTGAATATTAGTGCATTAAATATCTAAATAAAGACACCGCTAATTCAATTTTAAATAAATGATTATAAACTCAACAAGTTTGAGAGTAGAATTATTCTTACATAGGAAAATTAACAGTGATTTTCGCCTTAAATAAAAGTATGGTAGAAGAAGTGAACATGTGTAATGTGTGGAGAGGACACCACTATTTACTTTGGTGAAAACATTTTTTTTTTCATGTGTCCCACTTTAGATTTTGCACCGAGTTTTTGATTAAATGAAGTGTTTAAAAAAAAAATTCAAATAAATATAAATACTGTAATGAGGTGCGATTAAGTTGATACATTGTGTGTACTGTGAGGTACTTTATAATGTAATATATGTCTACGGTCTACCTATTACCTACTATATAATATATAGTCATAGGCCATAGACAAGCGGGGATGGTGTGCCAGCGCACTTCTTGACATTTTGTAATTGGGATCCTAAAAATGAAGCCACCGAGTCACGGTTCCGTATTTAATGTGTTGATCTTAAATAAAATCTAAATATCCTAGAATTCCTAATAAAATATTATTCCGTGTTGCTACATAGGTAATGAAACATAGGTACATTTTACATTTGCGTGTAAAAACCATAATTTTAATAAGATATGAAGCATGGCCCAATAAATAGCTCAAAATGTTGATTAAGATTTAGTAATAAAGGAATTCAATAATTTAAGTTATTTAAATTATTTAGGTGCGTCTGTCACTGTACATTTTAATATTATATAAATGTTTAAAGTGTATACCCCAACCATCAATACACTTATCTATAAAAAGTCATAAGTGAAAACTAAAATTAATAATAAAACTAATAGGTATTAACTACTAGTATATAATTCCTTTTTGAAAAGTATTATCAAATAAAAGTTTTGATTGTATTTAAAATGCATTAAATTAGATATAATTTTAAGCGCGTTATTTTTATAAAGTAGTAATTATATGATTATTTCAAAAATATTATGATGAAATGAGCTGTATAAATATTATTTTCGATATTATATACCTACCTAAATAGTAATTATCACACCTATGTAAAATCAAAACCCTTGAGGTATAGATAACTAATTCACATTACGTGCAGTTTTAAAAATAATTTATTTTAGTTTGCTGATTTAAATGATCCAAACACTATTGATCTTAATAATAATTATCATTTGCAAAACGTACTTGACCATAACTAGATCGGCAACATCTGTTCGTATTGATCCTCTTTTGTTGTTATCCAATTCTGTGATAATCGGTCGCATGGACCCCTGAAAACATAATAATATGATTAATTTTAATTTTAATTTAAAAAAAAAAAAATGATGCAACAAAAATTAAATTGTTCGTTTTAAAAATTAAATATAAACATTTTTATTAAACCATTTCTTCTAAGAAACAATCCTTTTTTATCACAAAAGAAAAAAATGTTTAATTAATTAATTAATAATCATTTTTTTCTTTTCTAATAATAGTTTTATTAATTAGACATTACATAATGAAAAAAAAAAGTAAGAACAATTTAATTTGTAATGCTTTAAACTTCGACTATGTGATTATTCTATCATCTAAGTAAGCAAAGTAGTTCTTTCATACTATAGTTATGAGACTATACGAGCTTGTAATGTAACAAACTTTTCTCAACACATTGAGTAAACTATAGCAGTATTTAAAATTACAAGGGGACATATAACAAAAGTTTCAGCATGAAATCGTCAATAATATTCATGCTATATGGTATGGAGAACAACACAAGTTTGAAAATATATACATGCGATGGTTATATTTTAGTATGATGAATATCTACAGAAACGGAACAAATTAACATTAAATTAAAACACATAATTTTAATTTTAAGTTAGTTATCGACAATAATTTGAAAAATCTATATTAAATCAATTAAATTAATTAATTGAAGTTAAACTATCTATAATGTTATATATAAAGGAAAAAACCAAACTAAAAGATGATATGCAAGTTTGAACTAACTCATTTCGGTTAATAATTATTATACATTGTGAAAATACCCTATAGCGCCTCATATTGAAACGACACCAACAACCGACCAACGAACACTACTAACTACAGACTAGAAAATACAATAGGTCATATTGATCTTGAGTTTTATCAAAAAATTATAGGGATCTTATTTATTTTAAGCTTTAATGGTAACGGATTACAAATCGTCTTTTACTATTTCTAAACATAAAATAATTATCCCGATACCTTATTTACATCATGTATGTTATATCATATAAAATAAAACACTTGAGATAATGATTGTTTTACTCCTGATTTTATTTATCCATTAATATATTCTTTACTCATTCATAGGCATAATTTTATGCTTAACTGTTGATATAAGCATTTGTAATTATCAGACTTAGCATAACGCTCTTCAAAAAGTTATCAATAAATCCACAATAATAAAATATCATATATAAAATACTAAAAGTTATCTAACTCGAGTGCTATTTAAATCTGCTCTGATTAGATTTATGTTAAATTTAACAAACACGTTTTGTCACTTTTGTTTTTACCATTTTTACCTGAAGGTTTAGAATAAAATTATTATTTAGTTTTGTAATTACTGGTTGCAGTGCTAGTTTGTTTTATTTTTATTTACAAAAATAAATAAATGTATTCAACCTAAATGTAATATAGTATATTATTTTGTTTTTAAATAAAATTACAAATTTAACTAGTCAATTTTTATTATTTTCTGAATATAGTAATTTTTATATCAATATAATACCATAATATTTAGGTTACACATTATGTACCTATACATAATTTAGTTTGAAAATAATAAATAATTTAAAAAATACATATTTTATATTACTATTAAATTTTTTTTGTTTTTATATTTGTTTAAGTGCTCAATAAAACATAATTTAAAAAAAATAAAATGATGGAGTTGGCGATTAAGAGTTTTTAAGCATTGTTTACTCTAAAAAGTAAAAAGGCAAAAAAAAAACAAAAAGGTAAAGTAGTATTTACAAATTTATTTTTATATTATAGATATTTAAGATTAGTACCTATTTAATTATTTTAATTTGTTTTACAAAAAAGGTATCACACTATTACCTATCAATAAAATATGAAATTGAATAGGCAATTCAAAAAAAGTTAAATTATAAACTCTAAGAAGGTTTGTTGGGTACCTAACTTGTAATCAGTGCAAAAAAATATTATTTTAACTTCTAAATACTAAGCAATTTTATTATTAGAAAAATGAAATAAAAACACTTTTTCCAATTTGATTTGCATGGATAATATTAATTAAGTGTCTTCAATTTATTTAAACGAAATTTCAATATACTACCACAGTGAAATTCTATTATTAGGTGCCTACTGCCCATACTATTATACAAAACCTATTCGCACACATATATTATGATATCATTGTTTTTCAATAGTCCGCCTGCTTAAGTATAATAAATATAACTATGTAGACATATCTAGTATCTATGCTATGTATAATATACTTTGTTGTGCAGTTAGGTATAACGTAATATAATGTTTATTAATATGCTCTACTGACTACTATGTAGGAACGGCGCAGTTCACAATTTTAAAAGGTAATATTTTTCGTAAATTAATTTGCAATAACTGATTATTATTGGAATACTTAACCCCAACCCCTCCAAATAATCTCAAGTAGATCTCATTAAATCGACTCATAACAATATGGGCATAGTAATTGTAGGATATATTTTGCAAAGTTTGTTTAACAATTTACTGAAATTCAATTATTATAAATAATAACTAAAAAATACGTAATACCCAATGTTCACATTATAATGAAACCCTGGATACCTACACCGTACATCACAGTAACGGTTTTGACCAAACTTCAAGGATGATGGGGGGGGGGAGGGCAAATTGAAAACCCTGGTACAAATATTTTAATTCTCTTGAGCTAAAAATGTATACCTACTTTAATTTTGTTGGATTTTACAAAAATTTTTACTGTTAATAATTTCCATTAACTATTATTTTTTTAAATTATTTATACCTATATATTAAATGGAATTAACAAATTTCCAAGGGAGGGTGGGAGGCAATGGGCAATCGCCAAAACCCCAAATCCCTCCCCAACCACCACTGAAGTTCTATTGATATAGACGTACTCTATCTATTATTGTCAAGTATTGACAAATTACGACTGAAAGAGCGTTGACGTTACCACAAATATAATAATTATACTAAATACGTATAATAATCGTTACTCAAACTTGAAGCTATATATACGCGTCATTGTCCAAGTACATATCGTTCGTCTAGTCATCTTAATTGATTTACATCATTTATCCATGTACATAGTGCGTAATGGTTATCGATGTTTATCTATTCGTTCCACATAAACGGCGACTTATAGAGTTCAATATTGTTTTATACAATTGATTTACCCTTGACTTCGGTGACCCGTCGAAGGGCCACTAAATGCATATTTCATATACATATTATACACAATACTGTGTACAGTATACATGTTGGCATGTGTATATATTATAATATCTGGAGCAGTAAACAGTGGCGTTTTTGCTGTAGCGCAATTGATAAATTATAATGTAAGGACGGCAAAAATTCGTCGAATACGATTTCAAAATATTATATAAAAACAATTAAACGAGGGACGACGTTGAATATGTGGACGTGTTCCGAGAATTGATGTTAATTTATCACGACTGTCATTTGGTATAAAATAATAAAGGACGTACAATGTCTGTTTTTAATTAAAACTAATTCTTCTATTATAATTAACGCCTCGGTCATCACTGGAGTGCGTTGTTATAATGACGCGTAATGATCTCTTATTGTTTTCAATAAAAAACAAATATATCAATACGACACAAACAGTGTTGTTTGTGTTTATAGATGGACAATATGCATCGCGACAACGTTTAGTTATTATTGGTTTTCGTTAACGAGGGTAGTTTAGTCAGTTTAGAAATGTTTACATTCAGCAAAAAAATTAATAGACATTTAAATAAAAAAACATTAAACAGTGACATTTCTGCCCTACTTAATGTCGCACAATATGATATTATAACGTTTTAATTTTATATTTGAACAAGTTTTAATTCGATAAACACTATTTTTACCTAACAAGTAACAGAGGTATTTAAATTATCTTACCTGTAGGAACGGCTAATATGATTTGTTGATATAAAAATTCCAAACAATGCAGCTATATACATTAGAGTAATTAAAAAAGCAATATAATATTTTTTATGCATGTATAGAAACATATTTTTTAAAATAAAGGTTCGAGAAATGTATATTAAACGCGCAATATAGAGATGAAATTCAATAGGTAATTTTTTTTTTTTTTTAATGGTGTAATAAATATTTAACATACAATTAAGTATCTAAATATTAAAAATATGATTTGTATTAGTTTAAACTGTTTGAAGATTGTTAAGAATTCCTTTTATCGATATTTTCAGTGAATAAATCGTACTTTTTAAATATTAGGCAATCAGAAGTACTATCGAAATTATTAAAAAGTCTAGAGTCTAGACTCTAGACAGATTTGAAAATATTGATTATCAACATAATTAATTATTGTAAACATAACTTGAAATAAACACTTAGGTGACCAATAATGATAAACTATTATAAATGTACAACTACTATAAAAAAATTGTATCAGACAATAAGCACGTGGCATTACTACACCGCTTGTACATAAAATATGTTTTCAAAATAACATCTAAATGCGTTTTTAAATTATGTATTTGTCATTTGTTTAAACAAGTGTAACCAGGCGGTAATGAAAAAAAACCTAAACAAATATGGGATCAAAGAATTCACTGACACAATGAGTAAAAGTAGCTTAATATGAATTTTTTTCTCAACCTCCACACAATATTATGCAGATAATAAAATATTAAATGTAACTTGAAAAATTTTAGCAAAATAGACATATTATTAAATATTTATGTCATGAACCGTATGAAGGTACGATTTCCTTGCAACGTCTTCACTACCGGTCTGGACGTAGGTCGGCGTCTGACGCGGCAGTACTGTTCCACTATTTGACGCTGCAGGGAAACCGTACCTTGAGACGGTTAAAAGTGTATATAACTGGACAGTTTGAGAATAGATATGTTTTTTTGAAAATTGAATTGAAAATAAGCATAATAAACAGAAATTCATGACCAAATTTTAAATTAAATTTATTTAAAATTATATATATATAATAATATATCAAATTAAATTTAACAGTGAAATTGATTACGATAACTATATTAATTAAATGCTAATATTCCCAATGTCAATACATAGAATACATTAAAATATTTTAAAACATTTAGGTATACCCATTCATATTAATTTACTGATTAGATTTTGGGTGTATTTCTCATTCAGTTAACACTGTTTTCTAAACCTTTAAAAGATACAAGAGCATTAAACAATTGTATAAAATAAAAAGTCGTAATTTTTTATATTAAATAAAAATATTTAATTATATGTAAGAAAAACGAAATGCATTCAATATTACGCTCTTATTGATTGATGAATCTAATGGATCTAACCACAATTAACCTAACCTGACCTGACCTATCGGAGGAAAAATAAGTATACATAATGTATATGTTTATTGTTGGTATACATTTATTTATTATTAAATGGCTTATTATGAATGAAGTTACAAATTGTAAAGGAACACATAAACACATTACAAATTGCAATGGAGTTTAATATAATTCATTTTTTTATCAATTAAAAATATCAAATAAACGTGACTGATTTTAATTTTGACGTATAACAGTCGTATAAATGAATGTACATTTAACAATATGAACAATCTGGAACATATCTGATATCATTATAATATTATATCAAGACAAAGGTTATGTTTATTTACTATAACATACTATGTACTCTTCTGCTAAAGATCATTCATTTATTTTGTTGTTGATAAAATTCAAGTCCAATATAGAAACCAGTGAAGGTTGAGCACGTACATCAATTGAACAAAGTATAGGTATAATACAGTTATAATATTTTGTAGGTCATAATTCATAATTATCAAACCCATTAGAAAACTACAGTAATTGATGTTACTGAAAGTATGCCAAAAATGAAAAATCGTTAAATCGTTAATTTTGAAAATCAATATATTACACACAATTACATTATGAACAATAAATTGTACTTGAAAAGTTGAATGCAATACATTTAATAACATTAAATACAAATATATATTATTTCAAATTTCAAATACACAGTAATATAATCATTATATTTAATTTCGGTACTTAAAGATTAATATATTAGGTAGGTGCGGGTGCTTTCCCAGTTTAATTAGTCCCGTCACTTCGATGTAATCAATATTACTTATTGTACTTTTTTGTGTATAAATTTAAATTATATATGTTAATTAAAAAAATTTAAACACAGCCTGTTCCTCCGTGTACTATTTTATTAGACGAATGTAAACCTGAAATGGTGCAAGAAAAATGTAGTCTCGACCGGACCGACTAGTTATCATAGGTACCTATTATTATATTATTTTTTTTTATCAAACAAAACAAGATTTACACTATAATAATAGTCAATATGTATAAGTATATATTATAAGTTATATTTAGTGATTGGCGTAAGATAAACTTTCGAATTAATTACTTCGTCCCAACTTCCAATTTTCACTACCAATATATTAGGTATAGGCGTATAGCCCTATAGGTAATAATAAAAAAATAATAATATTGTTTATATATGTATAGTCGTTGGGCGGCAGTACTGAGTACATATAACATACAATGTAGGCTTATAGGTAGGTACCTATATATATAGAATTTACTTTTCAGAAAATCGGGTTCAAGGTGATTATGCTGTACGAAAATTGTTAACACTCTTTGGTTTCGTTCGAATGTTTATCATCATGCAATATCGCTTCCTATTCAAAATAATATGCACCACACACGTACCTATCATTCTAGTTGTAGGTATACATAATAATATTATGTTATATGGACTAAGGTTATTGGCACGTTCTAAGTGCGGTTTTCGTATTGTTTAATTCACACCATTGTATAAGCTCTACACATATATGCATGTATGTTATATAATACAACACTTACACTTATACATGACTGCAAGGTAGTAGGTACCTACACATTGTGTTATCGATGAAAAATAACGAAACTGCCTCTGGTGTACAATAATAAATAATAATTCCTGCAGACATGAGCGATTAGCATTTTGTAATTTTGTGTTTTGACTACGCAGTGATGAGTATAATTTGGCCGTGAATCGTGATGCATAAGAATTAAGAACCACGGTCCTCGGGCTCCGAACATAGCGAGCGAGCAAATGCCTGGGAGTAGATTTAATTCCATCATAACTATATATAATCATCGGTCAGCAGCAACAACTCTGTTCGGAAAAAAGTCGAGCGGATACGCGCCACCCGGTAATGGAGAACGGAACTTAACAAACGTTCATATAATTTGTAAGTAAAGTAATAAGTACATTTATAAAATATCACTTTTAGTATCCAAGCATCCAACTAATAAAAGTCAGTCACGCTGCAGACGGATATGACATATTCTTTTAAAAAAAATAAAATTGCTTTGTATATAATTAACTGTTTTGTGATTTAAATCCCGTCCATAACCCTAATAATATGTGCGCGGATTGCAGGCATATCCATCGAGGAATATCTACGACTATCGAGCTGCTCGCGTACAAACAGAAATTCGAGCAAAACCTTTATGATACGAACATCTAATATAGGTACATATATCGCGATTTGTCTATAATTTTAAATGCCCGTGGGCGAGTGTGTTGTTAACGACGTTAGGCGTCCCATAAACCAAATATAATACCGAACGTCTAAGCAAATATAATATATATTATTATATCCGCCTCCGGCGATTGAGAGAATCAGCGAAAAGTAGCAAAAAGCGAACTCAGATTCTCTAGTCATTCGGAGTGTGTTTATTGTGTAAATTATGCTTGCCGCCGTATAAATTGTAGATAACTCACTGCGAATCGATAAACCGTCGTAGTAGGTACATAATATAGTGTGTCGTGTGTTCAACGTACAAACACCATACTATTATATATAAAGTAAAACGTGTGAAGAAAATATGAACATAAATATTATAATATGCGCACGTGTAACTATTAGGTACACGGTAATATAAAACTATAAAACCCGTTTATCGATAAAATTGTAAGACTTGCGAAGTTACGATCGTCGACTATGCCATTTGTTATACACACACCCACGTAATGCTTGTGAATTGTGACCCGAGAACAATTGAAACCACTATTGAAAACAATAGAGTTGTAGGAGGACAACGCAAGTCTTGTGCGGCGCAAAATCTAAAAGGTTGCAACGGTCAACAATAAAACGGCTCCATCGCTTTTCTTTTTTGTTTACCACGGTATATAAAAATAAACGCTCAAGTCAAATCCCACCATTAAAGGTCTTTAGCTCCCGACAATAATTCTTGCATCTCGGTGGAATTATATATTATATATTGTGAGACTAAAACAATAGGCATTTTTTCCATCACTAGACTTAACATGAATTATATTATTTAACCGAAGCAGCAAACTTATTTTGAATACAAATCGAGTGCCAACTGAAATTGGATAATTATAATAATATGATATATTGTATACATTTTAAATGAGATTCGAGCATATTTCATTGCTAGTCGACGCGGAATTCCAAACCAACGGAAACGTATAAATTATTTGGGAGACTTCTGCTCTTTGAACGATTTCCGTTTACGGCCTACGATGAATAATTTCCTGCAAAAGAAATGCGCACAACGAATCACATGTCCAATTTCGGTCGAGACTGCTTGTATTTTGTATACGGTGACAAACTCTGCAATGGAAATCCTGAATAGGGTTGGGGCGGGTTGTGGGCAGACGACATACAAGAAAAAGAAAAACCCATTACGATTTGCAGGCGTGCAGTTCACAGGTGCACCAAGAGGCTCTCCTACAGTAACTTGGACATGGGTAGACTGACCGGCTGGCCTGAATGCATAATGAATAGTGAGTGCTCGTGTCCGGTGTTATTTTATATTTTATTCGCTCTTCAAATTATAATTATCTTCTAGCGTACACGCATATAATATAAACATTTCCAGCAAATCTCCGATGAAACGCCGGTTTTCCCGCCGTACACATTAATTACCATTTTCGCCATCGTAGTATGTCATAATGATATTATCTGAGCGGGGCAACAATATTACGTACAGTGGAGACGGGACAGATGATTATTTTTCCGATGCTGATGCACAATGCACACCAAAGAGATAGATATATAGCGAGAGAGATATGGTGGAGGGGGTAACTAGGATATTGTATATATATTATGTATATAGAGAAAAAGAGAGTGAGAGAGGAGGCATTTGGCAGGCGCACGGCCTGGTTTTTTTTTCACCACACACATGCCTGTACGTAAAATGAGAAATGATATACACGCGAAAATCACGCTTTATACACGTGCTCGCAGCGTCTGGCAGAGTAAATACGAAACCGACCGCCTCGTTGCACCGAGAATCGCTAAACTATATTTTATGATACAAAAATTGTAAAAGGTGCCGTTTAAATGTTAATCATTATTATTTAATATTTATTACATATATATGTAGATTATAGATAAATTGGATTTGTATGATGATTTTTCAGAAGACACACTATACGCGATGTCTGTTTCAATTACAATAATACAGTTACAGGATTAGGTTTATGGATATTATTATTATTTTTGATACCAAAATACAAATTTTAAGCATGACAAAATTATTATCAATAATAAATAATTATCATTCTTCAACGTTATGATAATATGTCATAATCAAATGTAAACAATAATCGCGGTTTTTAACGATTTCTTTGAGATATATACACGAAACATGTTATTTTATACCTAATAAATTAATCACCGTATTCTACTTCTTTTTTTATCATTTACATAACGTTAAAATAATTGTCATTACTAGTTGGACAGTGCGACACACATTTCCGTTATGTGTGCACGAAGCCTGCTGGTTAGCGCGTCAACAGAGGTTATGTAGCGCACTTCGGGCTGTAGGTTTCGGACGTCCGGTAACGGGCGGTCCGACTGGTATTGATCTGGAAAACGGACGGGGACCGGAGGCGGTGTGGAGCCGGCGCATACACGCCGACCTCGCCAATAACAGAACTCATTGTCCGAAAAAATAAATAAATAAAAGAACTATCGTTGCTAAAAAGAATGAAAAAAATAAAATGAAAAACACCATATACACTGCTGTCTCCTATATACACTTGTGCACAGCAGCTGTATGTCTGTATACACGACGATAGTACCTATACTGTATCATAATCATGGGCGTAACTAAAATGTAGTTGTAACTTTTGACAGGGGCTAACCCTGAAAGATCAAAGTCAAAAATAAGGATTGGGTGGGCTAGGCCCTTCCCGCTTTACTCACCTAATACGTTAACAATTAAAGGTCTTTGCATAAAACATTACCTAGTATTTAGTAATAAGTAATAACTAATAACATAATATACTACATAATATTATCGTCTTGACGTCTTGCATGTGACAGCTAAAATCGAACAAAACCGTCATATAATTACCAGTATCAGAGTGGATAATGTGCAACACATTTATAATTTAAACTTTATAATAAAGGATATTTATATTATACACAAATATAACAAGACCACTAATAAGATAATAATATAGGAAATCAACAACGAAACTCTTAATTTTAATTTTATTTATCTATAATATAAATAGGTATTGGATGAATTTTCTTTAAATATTAAAATACTCAACAAACCAATGGTGAAATGTGTATTCCTGATTTTTTAGTGGATTTGGTAAAAAATCCAAAACAGGCTAGAAAATTGTTTAGTGGATAAGTTCCTCACCACTTTAGTTATGCCGATGATCATAATAAAATATTATAATGTGACACTGTGACAGAGTGTATGGTTATATTTTATATCCTATTAACATAATATTCTGTTTGCTGTTAACCTATAATATGGACGTTACAACGTTAAGGATATCGGGATATTATTTACCTACATATTTGGTAACAATACTATAGTACTTGTGTGTATTTTATAATAACGCGGTTCTATAATAATGTCCATGGTCATTCACTCACTCGATGGCGGTACAAGACGTAAACGATGTGACACATTATTGTCTTCCGACGAAGAACTCCGCGAGAAAAAGAATACGAAAACAAACTTATTCTATAGAAAAAAAAAACGGTAATGACCGAGTGTACATATCGTTTGCGAGCAAATACACACGAAAAATAATGTACACAACCTAACCCGAGAACTACGTGTCGTCCTTACAAATTCGGTTTGGCCGCAAATACAATATAACATGAAATACATCATATTATTCATATATTATTATATTGTTAACGTCGACGCGTCAAAGTTATCGCCGTCGTCATCGTCGCCGCCGCCGCCGTGTCAAAATCGATTTTTGGCCGTCTCGCGCTATAAACGCAGGGTAAATACATACACGTACGAAGTATATATACATAAAATATAATCTGTGTAAACCTATTATTATAGATACACGACATTTCAACCGTTTATTGTGGACGCGTGTCATATTATATTATTATACAAATATACTTATTGCATCGTTATATCGGCCAAGTGTTGGTGAAATATTGTTCTCGAGTGGAGGTGCAACTGCAGGGTACATTATATTTGAGTTTGCCTTATTTACTTTTAGACACCGAACGCGTCAAGAAATGAGTATTATGTCGGTGTTTTTTTTTTATTATTATTATTGTTGACAACGATGTGCGCGGTATGCTTTTTTATGGTTTCTTCTTCAATCTTTTTGTGGGAGAAAATGAAAAGCCAATGCACATCACTATATCCAAATCAAACACTGTCAGATATAGTTCAATAGCCGCATGAAGAGATCATTTTTAAAAATGTCTGAGGCGAATATTGGCGATCAAATGCGAAGTACATTGATTTTAACAAAACTTTTTCCATTTGTCAAATCCGCTCAATAATGATCGCTGCTTTCGAAGTTGCAAAGTTCAAAAACGTCCACCATATAGTTTGTTTCGGATAAATTATTATTCACGGTGAAATTATGTACAAAAATAATATTATTATGATTATACAACACGATATTTAGTTATGCCGGGCGGCACGCCGTACGCGTACAGACAATTGGGTAATTCAGTCATTTACAAATGGATAATTATAATATAATATTATACGGCATCTCCGATATACACTACACACACCCTCCAAAACATGACTGACGTGGTTGTGAGTGTCGACAAAGTGAAGCCGCGGTGGTGCACTGGTTCCATATTTCAACGACAGGACGGACAGGGAACAACGGTTCGGTGTAAGTATCAAAAGCATTCGCCAATGTTTTGGCGGACGAATTTATGGCACACCGAATACTATTTAGGGTGTCGATTTGTCTTCAACTATTTAGGACATAGGACTGTTGGTAAATAATTAATATTATTATTTTATACGTAAAACAATATGTTTTATTAAACTGTTTAATTTCATATCCATTAATCGGCTGCCGGCCCGGGTACTTCAAAAAATAATTTTGTATCAAACTAGTTACTAGACGCAGTGACGTCATGTCATCATTTGAATATGTGGCAAGGTGGCTAGGTTGGGCATTTGCAACTGTCTGATTTTAAAAGCAGACCAACGGTTGTTTAATAATTTTCAGGAAATTTTAAGTTTAATATTGAATAATAATATTACTGGAAATTTTTAGATTACAGTATTGTAGTTTTAAAGTTGGAATATTATATGGACATGTATAGCCATCTATACAAAATTTGGTGTATGTGTTTGTTTGTTTGTTATGTGAAGGAACAAAATATTATACCAGCCTATATTATTATTCATTATGCATTTACTATTTCTAAATACACGTCATTATTATGACGTGCTTCTTCTACTGTCGAACGAAATGTCGCAGACATTATATATAGGTAGGTAGAACACGTTTAGAAAGATATATAGGTATATATATGTACATTGGTATATCGGCATAATATCAACAACAATATACCTATACCTATTATGATATTATATCATCCCTTAAAATTGTATTTCGAAACTTTATATTTTTTTATTCCAGCGGTAGTTTGTATTAACCACAATTATCTGTGGTATTAATAGGGACATAATACAAATTATAAAACAAAACGACCACTTATAAATTTATCCTTGATTTTTAAGAGACCTGATAGTATCTTATATTTTTTGCTTTCTCAATAGCTTTATAGCAGTCATGTTCAATATTGCTATATAATTGGTTCGACCTCTCTATAGGAAAAAAATCTAAAATAACGCCACTGAAGTATAGAAATTATATTTATTTGGCTAATCCCATGTGTTTTTTTCAAAATATTTAGGTTAATTTTTCCCAGTGATGTAAATTTTCATGAAAATGTTTAAAAAGTTGAATATATTTAAACTTGAAAATATAATATCACAAAGTAGTCACTATTTTTAATCTAAAAGACTCTTAATGGGTATTACCTATTAGTAACTTCCTAGCCATTGTGAAATGTAAAAATTATCACACGACACACACTATATACCTACACTAGTCACATTACTCACATTAAACATTTAACTTGTTGATATAAAATAAAAGTCAAAACAGTAAACACTCATGCAGACAATAAGCTCATAACAGTCACGGAATGATTGATATTATCATTGAGTGTATATAAAATACTCAATTATATTAATAGGTATATGTACTTTTTTTTAATTGGGTATATTAGATTCAAGTGTTGATGACCAACAAAATAAACAGTCGTGGTACAGTGATACCAACCATACAACCTAAAAAATTATTTAAGTTATGAAAATACATTATAACTACAATTTTCAAAATTTTCCGAAAATTTAAATTTAAATAAAAATTTATTAATTGAAAATGTTCAAGCTTACATCTCTAGTATACATACTATAAAAGTATGTAATATGAGA